ATAACTACGCACACAGAGGTCATATGACTAAACGTCAGAAAATATTTTAACTCAAATTACAGTAGGTTTGTGCTGCTCTTGCCTTGTGTAAGTATCCATGAAACATGAAGTCATCTTTGGTTTTCATCTTTGTCTGTATAAAATTAAAGTGGCCTTCTTCCTAAATGCCAGTAGGTCTATGTTATCCATATATGATTTAAACAACGACGAAATATGAAGTACCTATTTGTGTGAAATGAAAGTGGCCTTATGTGTGCAACACCTGTGGCATAATATACGCCTAGCCTGTTTCTTTTCCCATTCCGCATTCTCCACAACAGTAAAAATAAAAACGTAGACGGCTACTTTGGCAGTAGACCACAGCGAGTAAATTGGCTCAAATGCTTCCCTCGATGGTGTCCTTTACCATAAATTCGAACCCCCAAAAAATAAACTAGACTGCGCGGTCGCGGGAAGTCTGGATTTTAAGGTGTTGGTGTTATTTTAACCTGACTGCAACGGCAATTTTCAAGATGCAGAGAGCGCGTCCGCCGATGTAGCTAATGTATAGCATAATATCTGTTAGGCGAGCTGTGGTGCTACAACTGTGAACCTTCGCAAGCACTCACATGACTATTGTAAATTGGGAAGGAGTAGCATTAAAAACGAAGAAAATGGGAATGGCCATTTTCGGCTTATCACTCGTCATAAACCACTGAGAGTAAAATAGTCCGGTGCTCAAAATCAAGCAGGTTGGTCGTTGAGTGTTAAGTCAAATGAATAAATGTAACGAATCAGTCTGTAAATTGCAGGTTGGTGGACGAAAAGCATATCTTAAGAGAAGCTTCCATATTTTTCGAGATTTTTTGAAGGGTTGGCTAATACGTCAATTTCTGTGATGCATGAGTTTATACACTAACTGCAAATGTATCTGTGCGTTAAGTTATAATTAGGTACCATAGAATATGAATAATTTAGAAACCAATGAAAACAACAAATCGGTTTTTGTAAAGGGGTTAGCACAACTTACAAAAAACACGTTGAAAGACGCTCATAACCAGCCGAGAAAAGCAAAGATGCATAGACTGCGACGTGTAGAAAGTCTGCTAACCTAATCAATACCGAGACTACAACATTTTGTGGAGTTTAGGGAGTAACTACAGAGCGTGAAGGCATGCAAATAATAGACTCTTTAGAAGTCCTTATTCTTGACTTGAAGTGTCTACATAAGGAAGTTGATAACAGTTAGTACAGATGCGTAAAAATGGCCACTACTACGAAATGGAGTGGCAAGCGTTACTTCGAGTCTAGGAGACATAGTTATGACAGCCGCAGTAGTAGCAAAAAATTTCATGGTGAACAGGAAAGACTACGTTGACGACGAGCAAAGGTCAACCGGCGACATTAACTGCATGACAAATAACAGAAAAATGCGCAAGCCAAAAAATATCTTGGCTACAAAAGCAAAAGACTAACAGACAGCAAGGGAAGAAAGATACAATGTTTGTTCAAAAATGAATAATGTAAACGGCGATAAGCACACAAATTACGAGGTATATAAACTTAGCATATGGGAGTGGATTTTATATCGCGGCATGATAAATCGAATTCTATGTCGTATCGCGTCGTTTCACAAGGCGGAAAACGTGCAGTTTGGAACTAAATCCTCGCCTAACCTATTGTAGTATTAAGTAACTGAGTATAAGCGGCCTGTCTAGCTATTATCCCTGTTTGAGGTCAAAAAAATCAACCAATGTCCTTCGAAGCTACGTGTGTGTGACTATACTGGAGTACGAATAAGGTCAGTATTATGGAACAACATGCAAGATTTGATGACATCGGTGTAAAACAGTAACTGCTGGAGGGCAGGAACACTCAGCTGAGTGTTACGCAACTGCCAACTGGCATAGAGAATTGACTTTTCAAAAACTATCACAACAGCGAATAGGCGGGAACACCAGACTTGAGCATTATAGTACAACAGGCGGAACACAAACCTGAAAAAGGTGTGCAAAAATTACGTTCGAAGGCATGAGGACATATCATTCGTATTCGCAACAACTGTCACGCATTGTTCCAGAGGTGTCAGGTGTGATAATTATATTTTTAACACCAATTGATAAGCATCGCCAAGGAAAGATAGACTAGGAGGGAATAGAATTCGGAAAAGTCGAAGAGCAAGAAAACGCGTTACCCTGTACGCTAAGCTTAGCAGTAGACGCAACTAGAGCAACTATCTTATCACCAGAGATCGTATGCAGTAATTTCCACAAATGAGCCGAAAGGATAGAAAAAGCAGAAGAGTTTCCGCGTTCTTAGAGCGAGATCCTCTTAGAAATGCGGTAGCTTACGTTAACGTAGCCATTCTGTGGTAATTTATCCGATTTAAGAATTTGATGACGTGCATAAAAAACAAATATGTTGATAATTCGTTCGATAAGTCATTTTTTGCAAATAAAAAATTGTAGTGGCGTTAGCACACAACCTTGTAGAAAATCATCAAAGACGACTGTATTAGGAGATATAATATCTGAAAAAGCACCGGAAAGTGTGTAGGAAGGATTTGAATGCAATAATGCGTTACTTTCGTGTTGATTTAATCTATTTAGTTATAGGCTCGCGGAAACTGGTTGCACAGAATGTGCATACATTTTCTGCTCAATGAGTAAGAATAGCACTGCCCTGAGCCTTCAGGGATTACGCACCCCTTGTCTATAATCTTCGTATGGTCTCAACAGCCGTGAAGGTCGGAAACTTTCGGTCATCTATGCGCAAGGCCTAGCT